CAATACATCTGTTCACCTATCAAAACCCCGTCTACAGTCACTAATACAAGTGAAAATATAGCTACCAGTGTGCGTTTAAAAGTTAAATGAATACATAAAAATGCAGATATATTTACAGTGGCAGACAAAAACAAGCAACAAGAAGAGAAAACGTGTAACGGCACGCATACGAAAGGAAGGAATGGAATTATTGAAGGCTAGAGAGAAAAACTGATGAAAGAGGTAGGTAAATAAAACTAAGAGGATACATTTTTGTGGACTACTTTACGATGCTGACAGTAGCTACAATCTAGGCTGTAGTGCCCAAAGGCAGGGCGGTTGGCGAATAAACCGGGAAGGATTTACCACAAAACATCCGTGGCCTGATCGAAGCACTACCACCGTTCATGTGTGGCGGCACTGAGGAAAACCACAGGAATGCTTACGAGTCTTGAGCGTTACAACTAAGCCAACCTGCTGAGTGAATAAATTGAAAGCTATTGCCAGAGAAACGAATAAACAATGTGGAAACAAGAGGATGAACACGGAGATAAAACATGACAGAAAATAAACGAATGAGGCAATAAAGAGATTGAAGAGAGGGAGCTGTTCAAGAAATTCCGTTAAGAATTCTGATGGGGAAGAGATTGCCACATATGTCGAACCTTACCGTTCTGACGCCACGTGTGTAATTAATCCATAAGGACCACCCCCTCCTCCTCTCCATCCCTCACTAGTATTAATGTCGCCTCAGCGCCATCTGGTCTCGCGCAGCGCAACGACTTGTTTCTGATTCATTTGCTGCCAACTGCCCACATTTTTAAGCTGTCCCCAGCAAACGGCCTTCCTGGAAACTTCTTGCACAGTTTTCACACAAATCTCTCGTGACTCTGCAAGGAAGCTGTCACTTGGGGAGCGGGACAACTAATTCTCAGACCATCTGTACCTGAGTTCGTGCTTCGCCGAAAACGTACTATCGTAAGGGGTTGGCGTGGCTAATAATAATGGTTCCTGGATTCGATTATTGTATTTATTGGTACTTCATCACAATTGCAATCAATTATGATGGGTCACGATCGATGACTGCGTAAGTCTCGCTCCATTCCTTACTGGACTACGAGTATCTTCTCTCCCGCTGTGACTAATGACGAACTACCAATCACATGCTCTCCCACGTTGTTTAGAACATGTTGGATATTCGCAACCGATAATTCTATCTCGTTAGTCCTATGGTGTTCTCCTCTTCTTATTACAACTGTTTTTCTCTCTCTTCAATATTCTCTGTCCGTCTTCGTCCTCGAACAAATGCATTTCGGGCTCGTAATCGATTTCGTTTCTGCAGTCATGATTTATTAACAGTTCTTCTGCGGTGTTAAAGAGTTCTTTCACTCGGTGCAGCCATTTCTCAATTTCTTAAAACTTCCACACGTTGTATTAAATCATGAAATTTATTGGCACTTTTACACACTCTGCTAAGTTCGTAAAAGGTTACACACATATGTACGTATATATATATAGCATACAGGGTTTAAGAAAGCTTAAATGAAATTTCTGTATTTTTATGCACCTCATTACGTTCACAGTATTGGGTTGATAATGATTATGTATGTGTTTCGGTCAACGCATTCTGCTGCTGCTTCTTAGCTAAGCCGATACAAGTGAACGGTGATCGGAATCGTACCTAAGCTTTACATACATACATACTGTCACGTTTAGGGTTGTACACGTGACGAAAATGACGAGTTCTAGTTCGGATGATTGGATTTATTAGGACCTTTGTTACAAGTTCTCTTAATAACATGTAAATACAGCGCTGTGCTGATTTACACACTTTCCAGTTCACCGTTTCACACACACTAGGATTCCCGGTCTTTACTAGTCGTTTCCTGGCAACGGATATCAACACAGAAATTAGCATTTAAAATCACTGTGAAGGCTTCTTGCCATTTCTTGTTCAGTCACCATGAAACCTCGAAACTCAACTACAAACTCTCCTGAAGTCTTAACTACATTGCACTGCACAAGTCTCTCAGTATCGTCAAAGTCAAAGTCACATTGCTACTGATGATTAGTCAATTAGCAAGTTTTGGTGTCGAGCCCCACCAAATATTTATTATTGTTTGACAGTTACGGTCTTGTCTTTTGTGGGGACCACAGGACGGGTCTGTCTTTTGTATATGTTGCTGGTCCTTGCCAGCACAGTCTTTCTCAAGTCCGAGTCCCTTGGAACTCGCGGCCATATTTTACTGTCTTAGATTTGAGGCTTCCCTTTTCGTCGCAGGGTCACGGTGGAGTCTAATCTATAACAGATACTCCTTATACAAGCTTCTCGCTGGCCACATAGATAAGATCTTTCGTTCTTGACTCCTATTGTTGTAACGCACTCCACTGAATATTGTTTACAGGTCGTTGCATAGAAACGGCGATTATTGTATTGTTGCCTTGCGTGTATTTGTTCGCGGGGTGTTCATCGTTCCATTACCTAGCAACGCTCTGGCCATCCACGTTACATTCAACAAGACCCTCAACAAGACCCTAGATCTGGAGATCGGAAAACGAGCAGCTTGGATTTCCAGTGGATCGCGGACAATCAAGAATTGAGCATTGTGGAGGGCCCCCTCTCCGAAGCGTTTGAAGAGCCACTCACATGTTAAGCATAAGAAGAGTCGGAAGTGTGGGAGCTCCGACCGCTTTTGGAAGAGTGAGAGAGAAGGTGAAACAGAAGAAAAAAAATTGGTTGATGGTGAGAACCTGAACTGACTGGAAACCTATATGGGAGCTGCTCGGGACGAGCATCCTTAAGAAGGGAGTGGATGTAGCGCTCGTAGAGTGAACAGCATGAAAAAAGAAAAGAACGTCTTACAAGAAGACGTTGAAAGCACAGACGCCGGAAAGTGAGGAAAGGTGATGCACCGACGAACAGCCGTAAGGAGGGAGTAATGTAACGCGGATGGCCAGAGTGTTGCTAGGTAACAGACCGGTAAACACCCTGTGATAGAATACACGCAAGACAACAATAGAAGAATCACATTTTCTATGCAACGATCTGTAAATAACTTTCAGTTGATTGCGTTACAACAATAGGAGTCAATATCGACTGTTTTAATTCTATTACCAGAAGACGACTAGTGAAGGCTGACGATCCTAGTGCGTTGTGTAACGGTGAACTGTAAACTGTGGAATGCAACAATAGCGCTGTATTTAAATGTGGTTAAGAGAACTTGTAAACAAGGTGCTAATAATCCTATCATCCAAACCAGAACCCGTCATTTTCGTCGCGCGTACAAATCTACAAGTGACAATGGGTACATACATCATACATACACAAACAAAATAATAAACACACGCGAACACATGCACGCATGCCCTTGGTGTAAAGAAAAGCGAAAGTAAAACTTCGTCTTTCCAGGAGCTTATAAAGGTCGATCTGCTGTTGTGCGGCCCACGACATTGTTACCGCTGTCGCTTCTGTGTTATTGCTTTTCATAAAGTTCTCTCCCCCGCCGCAAGATGTCTACAGCTGTAATACTGTATGCGCTTCGCTAAGCCACCCGTGGCCCCCTGCTTTACTCCAAATGATTTCTCTCTTTAATTTCGCGTCTCATTTTTAATTTTTAATTTTCTTTCATAACTTTCCCTCGACTAGATTTCATTGTCAACTTTGCTCATATTTCATGCGATGGAAGACCTTTACAAGCCAAAACGCTTCACTCACATGAGATGGTTCGTCTCCACTGGATAAATAGGTTAAGAAGAGCGGAAATTGAAACCGTGGAAGGTGCTGTATAGGTTAGCCGTTACATAGATCGGACCTTCGTACTATCCTCCAACGAACAGAAGGTGATGCATATGGCAGGGTGGATTGTTGATATAGAGACACGCTGAAATTCAGTGTACCAAACAACAGTAACGGTAAGGAAGGCGAATATGTTGCTTGCATTGCCTTGCGTCTTTCCTGTCGAAGACAGAGGTCAGTGCTCTCTATGTCCGTTACTGGTGAGGTCAGTTTCATTTATGAGAATATTGGTGTTTGGGCCAATAAAAGCATAAAATCTTTTGCTTGCAACCCAAAAGGAAAGTGGCAAATGGAATGCCATATTAAGTAATATTTTAATAAACTGGATTAAATTGAAAGGTCAATGCAAAAATAGATCACATAATTCATTTACACAAATTTCGATGACGAGATAAGTACTGTATTTTGGGGTATGATGCCATGGAGTCCGGTAGCCGATCACTGACGTCCACAGCTGGCTGCTTGCTTGACGTACTAGCCAGTCATGAAGATGGAGGCAGTACGTTCCTCACTTATCATCCTATAATTCCTCTATGTAGTCGGAGTTACAGTTATTGCCGTTCAGTCATGCGTAAAGCAAAAGTGCTCGGAAGAGCTAATCCCATACTTTCCTCGATACGATAGAGACCGCATAGAAAACGATGCGCTCAACAATTGTATTGTTTTGTGTTTATTGTTTGCACAAATCACTATAGGACACATTAGGTCTTCTCACTCTGTTACAGTCTTCACCGTTTTCTGTCAATGGCTTCCAACGGCGGAAGCCCACTTTCCTGTGGATTCCGGCCTCAGCTACCAGCTTCTCACACCAACATCTCACAACTAAACTACAACGGTTATCTCATTTACTCACTAAACAACCAACTGTTCACTCACTACTCACTCACTGACTCTCCTGGTTGTAATATCTCGGCACGGACTATACAGAGACCACCATTCCTCTGTTGATGCTTATGGGCAGTCGCCTAGCAACTGCCGTGGTCTAGTTGTTTCTTTTCGCGGATGTTACATAGAAACGGGTATATATGTAGGACACGCCTGAGGATGCGTCTTCACTAGAGTGTGACGTAAATTGTTATAGTTGTATTAAGTCACTGAATTACTACATGATTTCATTAAAGGATGGGAAACACACAGGAATTTAAACCTTAGGCTTCCTTACTCACCACTCCAAGAGTTCCATGGCCTCAGATAAGCTCTAACAGCAGGGATGGTTCCGTTTCAGGTGCCGCGATGACTATGGACGTGAAAGCGGAGACACAGAAGAACACTTCGCCGCAGGAGTGCGCTGGCTGCGGCAAGAACATCACCGAGAGGTGAGGACCAGCTCCGCAAGTCAAGTGGGAGGGAGGGCGTCTAGAATACGTCACCACACAGTTTATATTCCTCAGCTCTGTCATATTGTCTTAGTTGCCGTGAAATTTATAGCGACGGCCGAGGTCACGTGTAGACAAATTATTGTTCTGGAGTGGAAAGAATTGAGTACGTATTGATGTGGCTTTGACAGAAGCAGAGTACGTCACCAGTATCGTAGTCAGATGGTCGTCTTAAACTTCAGTATTTCTAAGAAGTACTTCGCCTCTCCTAAACTGCATCCACTGTAGAAGTGAGGGTGCGTCATCGCTGGTCAGTGACGTAACCGTTACGTCATCATTAGAAATGTTTGCAATATTCTGTTTTTACCATATTTCTCGTATTCATACGCTGGACTTACCTTCAGTAATGTTTGCCTACACAAGATATGCCGCACCCTGGTTCGTAGAGTGGATAGAATTTACCGTCCCATTTCCAAGTGACTAATGGTAAGCAGGTAAAATCGCCCTCTGTTACCAGCCCATTTCCACTTGAAAATGGTAACAAAATCGCCATCTGTTACCGCCCCATTTCTACGTGACTAATGGTAAGAAGTAAAATTTCCCTCTGTTACCGCCCAATTTCCAAGTGACTAATGGTAAGAAGTAAAATCGCCCTGTGTTACCGCCCCATTTCCACTTGAATAATGGTAACAAATTCGCCCTCTATTACCGCCCAATTTCCACCTGACTGTATTTCAGGTTTCTGCTGAAGGCGCTGGACCGCTTCTGGCACGAGGACTGTCTCAAGTGTGGCTGCTGCGACTGCAGGCTGGGGGAGGTAGGCTCCACGCTCTACACCAAGGCGGACCTCATCCTCTGCAGGAGAGACTACCTCAGGTACAGTTCGAATTTAACAATGGGTCAGGCATTCAATTTACATGGGAGTCAAGGACTGCGTCTGAGATATTCACGAGGAATTAACTGTTCAAAAATATTCCTACCCGCGTAATTTACTGACACTGAGTAAATATCCGACCGACCGACCGATCGCCCCTGGACACTTTCCCCGTCCAGCATACTTCCACATGTCGCCATCCGGCTGTCTGACCGTTCTGATCAAAGGCATGTTAGCAGTTATGCGTACTTATTCAGACCTTGACTACCGGTCTGTTTCAACTTCGGCCCATTCTATTACAAATGCCAATTCTTATCTATTATTTGTCTGTTTTCTTACATTTATTGATGTTCGGCTGTCGTAAATCAACTTCTGCATCACACGGCTTCTGAGCAACATGTGAGCTCTACCACGCTGTTCCAGCTTTTGGTTATGTTTTATCTACAGGAAGGGGTGAGACAGAGTCCCTAGCCTCTCGGGCTGTAAGTGGACCATTGTACCAGCCCCCCCCCCCCCGATAATAGGAGTATTTGGTGAAGAGAGAAATATCCGGAGGAAAGTTGCCCAACAACCGCCGT